ATTTCTGGGACAAAGAGTTTAAATAAGCTAGTGCTGCATAATTATAATCATTGCGTGTCACCTCTGACAGAGAAAAAGTGACGTGTCTCTTATCAGTTGTTGTGTTACCGGATGCGACCAGTTTGATTGATTCGTCAGCTTGACCACGCCCCCCACAGCGCTGTGGTCTGTGGAGAAGTGAGTCCCAAGTGTGAGCTATGGTAAAGTGTGAGCCAAAGGGCGAGGTCAGAAAATCAAGAATCAAGAATTAATTTGCCATTAGCAGTAAAACCACATTGGAAAAACTGTGCAAGACCACCCCAGTGTGAACCAGACAGAGAAAATCGTACAAACCAGCGCCATTCTTTCCGTGATCCCATCGCGCCCTCAACCCCCGTCCTGGTCAGCTCCTTGCACTTTTCCTCGTTTTCAAGGGACAACTTCGACGTGTCTGCGCGACCTGTCGAAAGTTTGCCACAGCACTGGCTTCTTTACACTCATTAGAATAACCTTATAAGCCTTTTTTAAACACAAAGAAAACATAATGACATTTTTACACTTAAGAATATCTATCTTCACGGTTTTAGTTTTACCAGTTGCTTTAGTTATCAGTGTTATTTACAAAAATTGGAATAAAAAAAGTTATCTTGGTATATTATATATTTATATATATATTAGGAAATACACAAATACTTTTTTTTTATCACAATCTCTAGCTATACATGAATGAATGCAGAGATTCTGTTCAATCCCAAGTAACCATTTTAATCTAGACCAGCAGTTTTACTAAAGATCCCTTTGAGGCCAGTACTTTTTCATAGTGCTTACTTTGAGTTTATATGGCTCCACATTTATCTTGATCATATAAGTCAAACAATTATTGAAAAAGCATTAGAGTTTAAACGGCAGACTGATGCTATTTGCTCTCATCAGCTCAGCTCCCATTAGTATTTTTTTTTTTTTTCAGTCTCCTGTGTATCCTGAAAAAGTAGGCCAAAAGGGGATTAGATCATGTGTGAATCTCCAGACGGCAGATCCATCGGAGGCCGCCCTGCAAACAGCCGCTGTCCTCTAAAGACACTGGCTGGAGCAGGGAAAATAAATAAATAAATCGATGGCCATTGTATCGGTGCCACGGCTAATCCCACAGAGAGCTTACATAAGAGACCAGGGAATAGACTGGGACCATGTGTGTGAGACGCAAACTTACTTTCAACGTTATTAGTAGACAATGTAACTTTAAAGCATTTTTCATTCAGCACCATGGACAGCGGTTACTTTGAGATTCACTCGGGCAACTAATTGTTCAATAAATGTGACAAATATGCACAAAATTCAAGGGAAATGCAAGGCAAGTTTTTCTGTATTGCATTCAAAATCATGAATAATCACGGTACATTAAAAAGAGTGAAGATGCAATCCTTCAGTTGTATGCACAGCTAAACAGAACTTCTTTAACCTGGTTTTGAATATTGTCAGAGTAGAAGCCTGTCTCACATAAATCTGCTGCATGAATCTGAAATGTTCCCATGTTCAGTCCTGACTCTGGGCACCAGCAGGAGGCCAGTCCCTGCAGGGGAGCGTTTTATCCTTTTATCTCCATCTATGCTATTATTTTCATGACAATGGGATAATGCAGCTGATTTGCCACCTTCTTAAAATTCAAAATAATAATAATATAATAATAACAATGCATCGGTTTCATATAGTTCTTTTTTGGACACTCAAAGACGTATTCTTTCACTCAATACACAGTGGTGATAAACTACTACAGTAGCCAGTATGTGCCATCCGCCTCTCCGACCACCACCAACCATTCACACACACACCAGACTCATTCTAGGCAATCTGGGTGAAGTGTCTTGCCTAAGGACACGACCAAAGTTTGGCGCTTTACAGCCACAGCCGCCCCCCACTGTGGCACCTGGTGTTTCCAGAGGTGGCACCACAAGTGGCACCACAAGTTACATAATATCCTTGTTTAGACATTTGAAATGGAATCAATCGTCATATTGATGTGTTTTACAGAATGAAGGTTTATAGGAGAGTTTTGGATAAGCTCATGTTTAAAGATAATTGAGGTAAAAATCTTATTGACCATTTTCTGGAATTTAATCTGTTGTCGCATCTCAGTGCACTGGTGAGTTTACACATAAGAGATTAGATACAATTTTGTGCGGGTCACAGTGGGAAAGTCTCAGTGGGAAAAGTCTGTATCATTATCACACACAAATTTTTTCATATTTTTATTTTTTGTAATCAATAATTAAAGACAGCAAAACAGACAACAACAAGAACACAAAAACAACACAACCTAAAAACAAACACACAAAAGTACGACCCCAAAACAAAACAGACAAACCCAAGACAAAAAAAAGATAATAATAATGATAATGATTATAAGATTCAGATTCAGTTTATTTGCCATTTGCAATAAAAAAAGCCACATTGGAATACATTAGCAAAAAGTCCCCAGTGTGCACAGACAAATACAGACATAACACAACATTAAAAAAAACAGAAATAAAACAAATAAAACAGTAAACAAATGTCACTGTGAAAAAAATATATTTTTCAATAATTTATTTTTATGATCGGGACAACACACATTAATAAGCAATCATATACAAGTTGTACACAAATCGTAAATGTGCCAGATTATAGCAAAACGGCTAATTTACATCCGTAGTCCCGAGGCAGGTCACACAATACACACACATAACACATAAATAACACATATCACACACATATTTGAGACACAGTAAACCACAAGCACTGATCACTGCTTTTGTTGCAATCATTAACAATTCATAATCATTTTCACTAAAATGACTTGCCAACATGGTCAAGATTTTTGCTATCTCCGAACAATCCTCAATGTCGGGTCTGTGATACATGGACTACAGCCAAGAATACAGACATAAACACATCTTAAAGCGAGCATTAATGATTGAGAAGCTTGACTAAAAGCATTGCTAATGAAAAGGCAAAATGAGCCCCGGCCATTCCCACTTGTGAGATTAGCATATCAGAACGACTCATTAGATTCACAGAGCAAAATTAACTCATCAGGACACTCTAATTGACCTTTATGGGCCTGCTCTCTTCTCTGACAATAAATGTGACTAAACGTGTAGACCATAGCCGCTAGCAAATCTCCAGCTAAAAACTTCACTGATTTAATTCTTGTCTGTATTTATTAGCCAGATCAGAACCAGATCTCACCAGACACAACTTGGGGAGCAGCGACCAAGTGCGAGTTTTGTCAAATTCTTATTAACACCTCATTCAACACTCATTAACACTGCAGCGGTATCAGCAGCAGCAGCAGCAGCAGCAGCAGCACAGAGGCGGTCCCTTCTCCGCTCTCTCACTCTCCCACCTTGTCACACGGTGGAGTAAAACAGTCATTAGCAAGTGTGAACGGAATAATAAGCCGCTCATGTAGATGGATGGAAGCGAGTCGGACATTTCTGTGCCACGTCCTTCATGCCTTTATGCCAAAGTGAATCATTGTCAAAAGCGCCGGTTTCCAAAATGAGGTAGACGGTGTGGCGCCTGATAGTGTTTTATGTATAAGACCAGAACTTGAGTCCAAAGAATAGACTAAACTATGATTACTAAACTGCAAGTATTAGTAGTAGTAGTAGTGGTTTAAAAAAAAAATTCTATTCAATGGATTTTGAAGGTCGACAGTAGCTCAGTTGGAAGAGCATTGGGCTCTGAGACAGAAGGTCGTGGGTTCGAGCCCACCATAAGACTTTCTCCACTGACTCCCACTGATGTCTGCTTTTGTTGTGTCCTTGGCAAGACACTTAACCTCTGGGAACACCAGGTGCCACAGTGGGGCGGCTGCGGCTGTAAAGTACCAAACTGCCGTTGTGTCCTTAGGCAAGACACTTTACCCCCATTGCCTAGAATGAGTCTGGTGTGTGTGAATGGTTGGTGGTGATGGGAGGGGCCGATGGCACATACTGGTTGCCTCGCTTCTGTCAGTGTGCCCCAGGGCAGTAGCCACAGCCACAGTATGAAGTGAATGAGTAATGACATGTAAAGCGTCTGTGAGTGTCCAAAAAAGTAAAACTGATGAATTATAATCATTATTTTTGTGCAGCCCTAAATCACAACAGTCGACTTTACAAAGTTGTCGATTCCTCAACAACAGATCATTGAATCAAACAGTGTAAACACAGGAGATGCAATAGTCACAAACAAATAGAAGTCATCGGTTCATAGGCAGCAGGAAGACCAATGTCCATAAAGTCTAATAAATGTCCTTAAACGTCCTTGAATATAACTGATGATTTATTTTTTTCTGTTGTTTTTCATTTTGGATTGTTTTTTTTACGATGACAATGAAATACATACAAAATCCTTAAAGCCAATGTCAACAACTTAAATTATATTTAATTTTTCAAATAATGTATACATTTGACCAAGGGACACTGTACTATTATTAGTAAGTATTTTCCAGCTTTAATATAAAATTTGTTGGTGGAGAATAGCTAAACCAATAATCATGTATCTCAAGGATTTGAACCAATCAGGAAGCTGCAGGGAGGAGGGTGGGCGGGTCTAACCAGTCTTCAAAAAGTTGCACAATTTTAAAACAAAATATGACTTTCACTTTAGTATACCCGCATCTTGCACAAAACTGTCTTGTACTTGTTTGCATGAAAATATTATTTAAACGGATCTATCTTTATGGAGAATGTCTCGTTACTCTTTTTGATGGAAAGATGCACATGTTTTAATTTTTCTATGTATTAATCTGAAGTACACACATTTCACACAAAACAATTGAATAAATATAGACACTTTGAAAAGGGTTTGGACGAAGCATGTTACACTGATGCCTAATTTAAACTGTTGGCAACTTAAAACGTAAAAACTATTTACCTAAACTTTCCGAGGCTGATTCTGTGTGATTCTTCAGACATGGTTTGGACCTGGTTTTAGTTTAGCACAGGGACATCACTGCCATTGTTCCAGATGCATTTTTGTGAATACTTCTCTTGCAGCATGTGGCAAACTGACCGGCATCAGTGACCCCATCACCATCAAGACGTCCGGGTCCAGGTTCGGGTCCTGGATGACAGATCCTTTGGCCCCCGAAGGAGACACACGGGTAAGAAACAAGTCGTGTTTTATTTGAAGAGGACTGGACTAGAGGTGTGCTTTTTACTGCTTTGACTCTTAGAGAGATGTAATGGCAAGGCAAGTTTATTTATAATGCACAAATAGTACACAAGGCAAGAAGAGAAGAGGCCTGTCTCACATTTTCGGGAAGATTTTTAGTTTTTCAGACATATATTATTGGGTTGTTCCATAAAATTTCACAAAAGGTTATGCACAAAGTATGGCTTTTTATTCCAGAACAGACATACAAAACAAGTCAGTGTCAGTAGCTACAGGAAAGACATTTACACCTGCTACTAAACAAAAATACACATCTTACCATATACATTTCCACATCAGCCACATACAAGCCTAAACCTACATAAGTGGTTATTTTACGGGACTTTAATGTCTGAATATAGCTTAAGAAGTTTGCAGTTTGCAGTTGCATTGAAAAAATGGCTGCACCAGAAATAGCACCATGCTACTTTCCACCTGTAGTCCTTGACAATACAATCATATAAGGGTTGCCAGATTTTAAACAAATGTATATGTGGAGCCACCAAAAGTAAACTTAATCTTCTTGAGTCTGCTAAAATGTAAGACAGCCTTTATCCAAACATCCAATGACGCAAGGATGGGAACTTCCAGAATAATAATATCCTTCATCCGATTGATCCAGCATGAATCTGAAATGCAGCCTCCCCATGTTTCGTCCTGACTCTGGGCACTCACAGCAGTCCCGTCCCTGTGCTCCTCAGAGTCTGAGTTGGTAATTACCTTGTTAACATGTTTCGGCTCCGGAGCTGCGGGCCTTCTTCAGACCTGTCACTTATCCGCCGGTGTAAGTTCCTGAGAAGAAGTACCTTTTCCCTCTTCTGCCGGCAATTTATCTGGCGATCTCCTTAACACTGTTACATGTACCCTTCCTGTTAACAGCTGAGACAACCTTGATCACAGGTTAAGGTCAGCGCTGACTGTGAAATGTAATAGTCTCTGGCCTTTTATCCTCATCATCTGATTTCCCTAAGCAGAACACGGGCCCTCGGTAATGGGCTCGGCTTCCGTCAATCACACAAGATACCAAATACTGTGCAGGTCCTTTTGGAAGGAGGATTATGGTGCAATAGAAACAGTTGAATTCCAAGCAAAGAATAATGCTAAAGTTACTATAAAAAAGGTAGCACAAAAAGGAAATTACTGGCATCCGGCCGTTTTTAATGCTGCGTTTTTGAAGGTAATCGCCAAGACAAGCGCAAGGCTGTGATGGTGTGAAATATTTAAGACAGTAAAGGTGAATCGCTGACTAAGAATAGATTTAGCATATCGTGAGGGCAACTTTCTTTGTGAAAAAAGCAACCTATATCAAAAGTGTGGATAAAAGAAGTGCTGAATTATCAAAGAGCCACAGCGAATGTAACTGACAGGGGCAGAATACCTGCTCCGTGTCTTTTCATCTCCGGGCTTCCGCTGCTCAGTCCTTTGCAGAGTCCACAGAGACCTCATGTTGATGTGAATGATTCCACAAAAAGGCAGGTAGAGGCCTTCAGGTGTCAGAGGCAGAGCAGTGGAGTGTTTGAGCCTCCGGAAGCTGGGGAATCAGGGTGATGCGCCCACCACCCTGGGGGCCGGAGGGAGCCGGGTCTAGGCAGGCGAGACAAGGCTTTTATGTGGAATGATGGGCATTATCCCTGCGGGGGCAGCTTGGCCCGTCTCGCTGCTGTCATGCCGACTGTTTGTATTCGCAGACCGCAGGACCCCAGTTTCCTAGATCAAGTCCTGGCTCAAACCTAATTGGAATGCTTGCCGAGAGAATGATTTGATTTATTCTGTTTGTGATCTGCATGTTTGATGCACGGTTCTTCAAAGGCTTACATCGGGAATGACAATTGCAATTCTTTTGTAGCCAGTAGAGCAGTACGTTCAGCCATTAAAACAGAAGGTTGGCAGGTTTGGGTTGATACTTATTTGATTTTAGTGCAACTATGGTGGTTAAAGAGAATTGATGTGTGTCACATTGGCTCTATCATTATCGTAGTGTTGTGCTGAATGATTCCAGCAGTGCAAAGAAAACCAAATATCACTGACAACTTTCTCTCGACTTGTGAATCTTCAAAAACGTCAGACTTCATGCAGTATATATAGCATGGAGGGTTTCTCAGTTCTGCAGTTCTAAACATGAAGTCAGTGAACCTCTTTGTATTCATATGCCGTTTTAGGTCTGTGTTGTGGCCCATAGTGAAAGAAATGTTGAATAACTCTGTGCTATAGTTTAATCCTAAATACCATCCAAAAACACACACGTTTCCTTTTCAGTCAATTCAAGGCAGGTTCATTTGTATAGAACTATTACTCCTCAGTCCCAGCAGGGGGCCAGTACCTGTGCCCCTCAGAGTCTCAGCTGGAAGCTTGTCCCTGCACTACTACTAGTAATTTGGTGCAAGGCCAAGCTGTTTTTAAGTCTATTCTCTGAGCCACACAAACCCCGTGAACTTTCTAATATTATTCTTTATGTTTAGGTGTGGTACATGGACGGTTACCACAACAACCGCTTTGTGCGCGAGTACAGATCCATGCACGACTTCATGATGTCGGACAACTTCACGTCCCACCGCCTGCCGCACCCATGGTCCGGGACGGGTCAGGTGGTCTACAACGGCTCCATCTACTTCAACAAGTTCCAGAGCCACTTCATCATCAAGTTCGACCTGCGCACCTCCTCCATCAGCAAGTCCCGGCAGCTGGACCAGGCGGGATTTAACAACGCATATCACTACTCCTGGGGGGGCCACTCGGACATAGACCTCATGGTGGACGAGGGCGGTCTCTGGGCGGTCTATGCCACGCACCAGAACGCGGGGAACATTGTGATTAGCAAGCTGAACCCCAACACGCTGCAGATCGTCAAAACGTGGACCACGAACCACCCCAAGAGGAGTGCCGGAGAGTCTTTCATGATCTGCGGAACGCTTTACGTCACTAACGGGTACTCGGGCGGGACGAAGGTGTACTACGCCTACTCCACCAACTCCTCCACGTACGAGTATATTGACATTGAACTCCAGAATAAGTACTCTCATATATCCATGCTGGACTACAACCCTCGGGACCGCGCCCTCTACGCTTGGAACAATGGCCACCAGGTTCTCTACAACGTCACGCTGTTCCACGTCATCCGCTCGGAAGAACTGTAACCTCGCCAAAAAAAACTGCTCAAACAAACAGACAATACGTAAAAACGCCGTCTATGGAGATCAACTATATCCAAAATTATATCAAAACAATGAAACTGTCGAGAGATTTTTTTAATGTTGAAAAAATACTTGCAGAGCGAATGCAAGGTAGGCCGAATGTGCATATACAAAAAAGAGCCAAAGGGTTTCATTCCAAAATACAATAGTATATTTATTAAAAGAGATCTATGAACACTCATGATTGTCAGACATCTTTGTATATAAGAATCTACGTTTCAAAGTTTACCGTACAACTTAAGTTTACATTTTCTATCAGCTGCCATCTTCTTGTGACTTTTTTTTATTGCTATTCCTTATTCGATTTTGGAATGAAACTCTTTAACTCATTGACTGCCGTGGACGTTTTTGTCTGAGACTGGTGATTTCTTAGCCTTTCATAGTACAAATTGCATTTCGTACTAAGGTCTGGAGGTGCTCCATTGAGCGCCGTTTACAGGTGGGAGGGGTTAACTCCTTTTGCAGATTGAAACGATTGGATCTGAGTTTAGCGTGACGTATGTAGTGCGCCAGAGTCTGTTTTTAGCATTTAGCATTTAGGCTAGCCATCTCCTTTGCCTCTAACGGAGTAGCGCCACAATTATTTCCAGCGATTACATTTGCTAAACATTACCCTTGCTCGGGCTTCAATTTCTTGATAGAACCAGACCGGATTACTTTACTATCGCATTTTTCGCCATTGCCAAACTACAACCTGCCCGTTCGACGCAAACTCTTGACGTCACCCACAGCTAACTACAACTCCTGCCTTCCACGCTCTCTGATTGGTCGGTCGAAATTCAACCGATTGTAATCGCTAACATAGGGACTAGACCGAGACGTTACATGCAGTGAAATGATGATTGAACATGCTAAGGCCAGGCTAGTGATTTCTGTCAAGCATCCCTGTATTCCACTGGGGATCACAGGAGAACAAAACTAGCTAGAAACCAACATATTTTTGCTGATGAAATTCGACAGTCCAATCTTTCAGAATCTGGTTTTAAATTTCACATAATCATAGCACACAATATTCTGTGGGCCTTGAAATCCTCGAAAACGGCTGGCAGTCAATGAGTTAATGTTTGCCACATAGGAAATGATTGTACAAGTAGACTAATATATGTATAAAGGATTAAATATACAAAAAATATCAATAATAATATATAATAAAATAAAAAATCATGCCTTTTTTATAAACTGGAATACCAACACTCCATGAAGCTGCAGTCCCACCAGAGCATACCTCCCATTTGGACTTTTGATTGGTCAAGTTGGGGATCCCGCCTACAAGAACTGTTGTAACGAACTGGTCCCTTACGACTTATGGACATTTAGGCAAATCGGAAGGTGTCGCCCTGGTCTGCGGACGAGCCGAATGGAGTAAGTCTGTCTATTATTTTCTAACAAAAACTGTAGCAAATACTAAAAGCCTGTAGAGAACACAGCAACAATAACGCTAAAGACCTGAAGGCATTGACTGTTGCGCTGTTGTTTCCTGAGAAATTCTTGTGTTAGTGACATATATGTGGAAAAAGGCTTTCTTTGCATGAGTGTTTTCTATCACTCTGGTCTGCTCTTTGAATGTCTCTGGATGTACAATATTAGAATAACAGAAAGGGGGACTGAAATTGGATGATAAAGAAAACATAGGAGCATGTCAGTAAATTACAATATTACGCTTGTGTGTGTGTGTGTGTGTGTGTGTGTGATTGTGTGTGCGTGTTTTGGTAACTTCTTTTTGTACTGCGATTCCACTCCGACAACATGGCAATAGAGATCCTGGTTGTTATCCATACATAGAATAGTTAACAAAAAACCCTGCTCTTATACGTGACTTTTGTTTGCCAACATAATCCCTTTGCTCACCGGTGTTTGGAATCCTGCCACTGTTTGCTAAACACGCAAGGAAATCTATAAAATGTGTTTGAATTCAGTTCTAACCTAAAATCACAGATAATCATGCGGTATTTTAATGAACTGACATGCTCAGATTTATTAAAGGGTTATAGGGTGTGGAAAAATGTTTTGTCTCATCAAATTTTGATTTTTAAATGAGCTTGAATTTTTCCATTTGAAAGTTGTAACCATGGAAATTAATATATTTTTTAAATATTTTTGAAAAGGTCGTCTACAAATTTCAATGGGAAAATTTCAAAATGAAATATTCGCCTTTAAATCATGTTTATTTTTTTGAGCCTCAAATTCAATTCACTGTGGAGGGAAAAAAAAGGCAATTTGTTCCATCAGATTTTAAATTTTAAATGGACCTGAATTTGTTTATTGGAATTTTTAAACATCTTCATTATTTTTGTCTGCACAATTCCAGTCACTGATTCTCAATTTCATTTTTCAATAAAAAATAAAATAAATTTGCTGCATATACAGTATTTTCAAGTGCTTTTTCATGGTTAAAAATGTCAAAAATGCAAAAATTCAAGCTCATTCTAAACTCAAAATGTGATGTAATAGGGGTTGGATAAATACTTTTTTATACTGAAATTATTTGTGTCTTTTTTATCGTTTGTGCATCACTGTAACACGTCGGCACCAGTTTGGCCTCTGCGTTCGTCAGTCTGTATCGAGAGAGAGGGAGGAAAATCTCTCATCGTCCGTTTGAGAACAACCCCACAGAATGTATTAATACTTCTTCCCTTCAAAAGTCTCCAAAACTCTTTCCTTTCACTTGAATCACTCGTAGTACGTTTTTGCCGAATACGACATTGTGTCTTCACTCATGACGGATCATGTTAAATGTATACCCTCGCAGAGAACAAATGCTTTTCACTCTTTTTGCGCTTTGCTGGACTGTGTTGTACCTGAGATGAGATAGTTAATGATCTGTGTCAATAAATACAAAACTAACTGAGTGAATTGGTCCGATGCTGTGTTTTTGGTGCCTTTGTGCAAGACGTCAGCCATTCCACCAACGCTTAACACTCACCAAACTCCTTTCTTCACAAGAAATAGACACGGGATTTATTAGAGATCGTGAGATGTGCTCGGAATAAAATATGGCATGATTGAACAGATGATGAATGGGCTTTTTATCTTTAGACTTCCTGTGGAACTACTGATTCTGACCCAGTTTAACCCGGACAAAACTGTCTTGCAGCAGTCAAGCTTTTAATAGCCCAAAGTAGGTAATGCTAGGTAGTACATAAAATAACTGTTGGACATGGAAGTTTCACAAGACACCCGAATAGTGAACATACTTGTTTCAACACACAATTGTGGATTTGAACACTCCAAAGTAGGTTGACTCCAATCATGAACAGCAATTCCAATAACTCCTCCTTCTTCAGGTATCTTCGGACTGGTCTGCACTGGGTCAGGCCTATCCACAACTTCAACTTCAAAACATTTAAAAGGAGGAAGCCTGAGTAATTAGCAAATGTGACAAGTAACTGAGTATTTTTTGTTACTTTTTTCCACTGGACTTCCTGATATTTGTACTTTACTTGACTTTGCAGACGACAACACATCACAGTGGTTGTAGAGATAAGTTCAGAAAATGATTCTCCTGCTTTGGTAACAGTTAAGGTATTTCAAAAGACTATAGATTTCAAATTAAATAAAAAAACATTATTTGTCTATGTTTTAACCATTATGCTGTTAACTATGTACATATACAAGCTTGTACTTTTTCTTAGAGGTGGATCATGTGTAGACGATTGGTCCTCCTAAATGTCAATCATTCTGGTGATGTGCATTCCTTCTGAGGAGGACGGTTGGTTCCTAAAATTCTGGAAAATTCTCCTATTTACGTTTAAGACTAGTACTTTTGCCACCTCTCATACAGTTAGTTAGCAATGCTACAGCTAACTTACTAAGAGATTAACGATATTTCTTAAAAGGTGTGTTTTAAAGGAGAGGAGATAAATCAATGTATTTATTTGGATGGCCCATTTATTTGGGCGACAGTAGCTCAGTTGATAGACCATCGGCCTTTGGGCCTGAGGGTCGTAGGTTTAAATCCACCACGAGACCTACTTCATGACTCACACTGATGACTACTGTCGTTGTGTCCTTGGGCAAGACACTTAACCCCACTTTGCCTGAAACCCCCGCTGCAAGATCAAGGCCCCTGTCGACTCACCACCTGCAGGAGGATCAGTGAGGGGCTGGTGCTCTGTGTACTGGGTGCAGCTCTGACTGCCGCCCCCCCCCGACCCAGAAATGGATTGATGGATGGATGGATGGCACAGTGAGCATGAAACAATTATACCAAGAAAAAGATTGAGAACCATTTTTTCAAGGAAGTCCTGGACAAAAGGCTGCAAAAGTGACACAAAACTATGGATTATAAAGAGTTACATGTCAATGAGGATGTCTAAATCTTGCTTTAAAAGCATTCAATAAAATAAGTTCTGTTAATTTCCAGTCTCTTTGAAACATGTTCCATGTTAAAGTAGCAGCGTATGCAAAAACCTTTTTTTCCCAGTTCTGTGCCGGCAAAAGGAAACAGAGAGCCACAAAAGATCATTTGAATGCAGACCGTAAGAACCAACATCTGTGTGATTAAATGACAGAGGTAGGAGGGCAATAGAGCAAGCATCGCCTCATAAACAAAAGTGCACCAGTGTCCTGACCTCCTGGTGGACAAAGAACGCCATCCCACTCGAAAATATATGATTCCCTATGATGAGTCAAGTGCACCTGGAAGAAACCTACACATATGGGGAGAACATGCAAACTCCAAACAGCCAGGTTGATGGATTGAGATCAGCCGTCCATGTAAAATATTTTGAACGCAACCTCCTTATTGTTTGGGATTTTCCTGCATACAGAAATACCCTGGAGTGATTTAAAGCACTGTTTTTCCTTGTTTTTCCCATCTCACTCCCCCCTTTTCGCATCTACTATCCACTCCGCCCCCTCCCCCCATGCCTCATCCCCATCTTATAGTGGTCCATCTTTTTCCCGCTCTTTGTTGCTCCCACCAGCTCACAGGCTCTTAGTCC